ATTTGTTCCATTTTAGTTCTCGCCCTTTGCTTTCAAGCAACTAAATGTTGCCTAATTTCAAACGCTATATGTAAAAAAAGTTCCCGCATGATTTTCAGAAAAAAAACGTGACAAATAAATAATCATTAATAAAATACATTCAAATATATTAAAACAAAGTTTACTAAGAACTGTCTTCAAACTGACTCATTGGCATATTGGTAAACATGAGAGTTGTAAACTGTTCTTAGGGAATAGACCTTATTCGAAAATGGCCGCTGAAATTTCGCTAAGAGCGAGAGATCTACGAGACTTGTTCTCACCCCTAGAAGACAAGTATATTCTCTATGTCATCGCGTCCACTGTTCTCATGACCTATGTATCTATGTACCTGACCCACTGTGTTTGGAACAGTGAAAGCGATGTCGGTAGGGAATGGTACTTATTTGAGGGGTAAAATTACGTCTCTGAGTCAAGCTCTCTCGCTCGGTCACCGTGAGATGTCGTTGGTAATTTGCAAATAAAGTATATTACAGTGGTCATCTAATAAGACGTGAAGTATTACGTAATACTATTACACATTTAGTGACTTCTCCTGTCACGATGTGTGTTCAACTTCATCTTATGGGATGGTTACGATTTATTGTCATCTACCGTATTCTAGTACACTAAGCTGCGGAGAGGTGGTCACGTGGAATGAAATAAATCACACTATATTCCTCACTGGCAGTGTATATGCGAATAAGGCCGATGTTCCACTTCAAGAGCGTTCGTACGTACGACGAACCGCGCTGGCTGCCGAATTTGAAGCGAATTTGAATATCGAAATACAAAATTTTGAAAGTCAGAGTACGGACAGGTTCGCCAAACTCAATTACTGCGAAAATCAGAGCAATATTATCAATACAGATACTGAAAATAGCAAAGATATTTCACTTGTGTGGCGCGGGCAGCTGACAAAAACGCGTCCATTCTAGTCGTTCGTAACACCAGGACAGTAGCGAGCCAGCGTGTGACAGTTTTTCAGCCCGGCTGCGCCTCGTTTCAGTTAGGGTTCAATTTACTTTTGAAGTAAAACTATTCATTACCGGTAATACTATTATACCTAAATTTACTACTATTTATTACTTTCATCGCCGCGCGTATGAGATAACAGAGCATGTTATTGTTAAGTGTATTTTATGGAGGATTTGTGAGAA